TGTGTGATCTTGTTGTCATTTTTAAAAAAAAGGTTTTCTTTGTTATTCTGGGAGAGTTTTGTTTTATCCAATAATCTTCAGTAAACTTAACCTTGTTAAAGTCTTTAAGATCTTAATTGCAACTGCAGAAATATTCTCCCTGGAGTAGCTGCCTCCCTTAAAACGTCTCTTCAGGCCCTTTTGAAAAACACCCGCTGTAGGCTTAACTGGTGTAAAGAAAAAAACCCTTCAAATTCTGTATTAAAAAAAAATACATGGTTATTTTATGTGCACCTAGTTAAAGTGATTAAAAACAAGACACAAAAGAGATACAAAAGGTTGCCAGAATATCTCAGAAATGTTGCCTTTTAAAGAGGTTTAGGTGGTAAATATACCATATTTTTCAGAGTATAAAACGCACCCTTTGTCCTCAAAAAAGAGGCTGAAAATCAGGGTGCATCTTATACATTGAATACAGCATTTTTGCCTCTCGAAGCCCCGCCCCCTTCACCAAAATGGCCATGCATCCCCTTATGGAGGCTTTCAGAGAACTGGGGGCTGGGGAGGGCAGAAATGAACAAAAAGTGGGCCTTTTTTGCCCCAGCAGCACTCTAAGCCTCCATAAGGCTATGCATGTAATTTTTTGGCGGGGGGGAACGACGCAAAAAACAGGCCATTTTTTGCTCATTTTTGCCTCCCAACCCCCTCCCAGGAGCACTCTGCTAGCCCCCACAAGCCTATTCATGCCTTTTAAAAAAAAAAAAACAGGCCCGTTTTTGCAAAAAACGGGCTGTTTTTGGGAGGTTTGCAGAATGCAATTTTTTTTTCCTTTCGGAAAGCTCTTTAGTTAAAGTGATCAATAAGAATTAGATTGATCGAGTGCTGTGCCAGCAGAAACAAAGTCTTAGGTGCTGCAGATTGTCAGCGATTTCTTTGTCCAGCACATGGATAAATACACCTGGAAACATCTCCCTACCTACCCTCTCTCTCTCCCTACCTATCTACTGTATTTCTCTTTCTCTCTATCCCTTTATTTACCTACCTACCTACCTACCTACTCTCTCCTTACCTACCTACTGTGTTTCTCTCTATTTCTTTCCCCCCTCTATCCCTCTATCTACCAACCTACTTTTTTAAAAAAATTGCCTCTTCAAAACCTTGGTGCGTCTTATACTCTGAAAAATTCAATAATTGAGCCCTTCAAGAAGATAAATTCCAATATGTCTGCAGCCAAGATCTGTTTTTTTAAATGTATGCATGTATGTTTGATGC